GTCTAATTATTAGTTAATCACCTCATTGTGCTCACCTGTCTGTCCCTCGTTAACTGCCCTATATCTGTTCCCGTCTCTTGTGTTCTAGTTGGTCGGTTATTGTGAATGTTACCCCGAGTGTGTGTCTGTCTCTGCCTTGTTGTTGCTACATTAAATATACTTATTTTGAATCCTTGTCGTCCTCGTCATCCTGCCTGCCTCCACACACCTGGTCCGTGACAGAATAACCGACCCTCACGTAAAGTATAGCAGCGTCTTTCTCCTCGTTTGTTTTTCCATTTTTTTTGTCAGTTTTTATTTTTTGTATAATGGATTACCCTGCCTTCCAAATCCTCCTGCTGGAGCAGGGGGAACGCTCTCTTGAGGACCACACCAATGACTTTCTGTCCCTGGCTCACCTCACGCACTACCCGGACAACTGCCTCTGCACGTTCTACCGGGTTGGACTTAACGCCACCACACTAGTGCAGTTGCCCGGGGAAGGTCCTCGAGAGAGCTTCCCCACCTTCGTCGAGTGGGCACTGGTGTCCTGCAAGTCCCAGCTAACTGTGGGCATCGCTGACGACGACACCAGCCCCGCTCAGGACCCTGAGCCCAGCCCACCATCTCCCCGCGGTACGGAGCATAAACCTGAGCCCACCGATGACGGAGAGCCATTTCCCACCGCGATCCACGAGCCGGAGCGAAGCCCCGTGACAGTGCCCACCATGAGGGAGCAAGCCGTGGACGGTGTGAGCGCGGAGAGGAGCTTCGCCCCCTGCATCATGGCTGAGGGTGAGCAGAATATGGAGGGCGGTCAGTGCCAAAACGTGGAGGAGAGACCTCCTGATCCCCAGTCCAGCCCGGGAAGGGCTCCTGATGTTCCGATTAGCCCAGGAAGGGCTCCCGATCCCCAGTCCAGCCCAGGAAGGGCTCCTGATCCCCAGTCCAGCCCAGGAATGGCTCCTGGTCCCCAGTTCCGCCCAGGAAGGGCTCCAGCCCAAGAGCTCTCTCCAATGCCCATTCCTCAAAAATATCCGCCCTCCCACCCGCTCCGGCCTCCTCCAGCGTCACCATTGTCGGCGTCTCCCTCGCCTCCGCCTCCGCCTCCGAGGCCCGGACTCTGCCTCGGTCCGTAGACCCAGTGGCTCCACCTCGGCTCCTAGCGCCCTCGCCTCCACCATCACCCATCGATCCATCAGCTCCACCATGCTCCCTCGTCCCTCCGGCTCCGCCTTGGTCAGGCGTCGACCCGCCATTGCCTCTGGACTCCTCTCCTCTGGCTGTGCCTGGTCGCTCTGTCCTACCGGCTCCGTTGGGCTTCTTCCTCCCGTCAGCTCCACCTTGGTCCTCAGTCGCTCCG